TACCTGTTTGAACCGAAAACGGTGTGTTTGTCGAATTCATAACAATAAAAGATTTAAGAATTGGATTCTTAAATCCTTGAGGCTTAGGAGAAATCAAACATGGAAATCAAATGAGAAATAGAAAATCAAAGAGATTTTATTAATAATAGATTCATTACATTGAATGATTACAAGTGTAAAGTGAATGTACAAATCTCTAAGAAGTGTATTTGATCTAAAAGAGTGAAGAAGAAGATCTTAAACAAAGAGGGATTGCCTCCTTATTTATAAAATGAAGAATCCTAGGGCTTCATAGTAAAATGGGTCTAACTCATTATCTGATGGGCCTTGAGAGAGAATGTAAATCCACCCCAAGCAGTAAGCCCCCCAAGTTCGTAGAGAGAGACAAAGTAAATCTCTGCGAACTTTACGAATAAGGTTCATTAGATAATGAGCTAGAAACATTCGTGCCTATGACGGTTTAGGCAAGTTTACTTTGAACTCGTGCCTAGTAAAAGGCGAGTTTTCTTTAAACTCGTGCTTAATGAAAGACAAGTTTACTAGACTAATGCCGAGATGAAGGCGAGTTTACTAAACTCGTGCCTAGTAGAAGGAGAGAGTATGTAAACTCGTGCCTAGCCAAGGATGAGTTTTTGTAAACTCGTGTCTAACAATAAGCGAGACGATTGCAAAATTGTGCCCAATAAAAAGCAAGTTCAATTTAAACTCGTGCCTAGTATACAAGTTTACCAAACTATTGCCGACCCGAAGTCTCGTGTTGAGATCGTTGTATGTCGAGCAAGTTGTTGGTTTGTATGTCCGTCAGGCTATGATGATGTCGAGAAACATGCTGGCTTGTGCCGCTTGTTCGCTTCTGACGAGCTCGCAGCTGAGAGCCGTCCTTCGAGGCATGAGGTTATGATAGTGGCAACCATTTGTTGATTCTCTTTGGTTCAACGATCGTAGTGACTCTGTCTCACGAAAAACATATCATGATTCGGGCAAGGTAAATGAAAAAAATAACCCTATGTTTCATAATTAATAAACAAGGGCTGAACTCGTTTTTGCTTAGTGTTCACAAGTTGCATATGATAGTAGTAATTTATTAATTACTAAGTAGTACGCACAGATTGCTAACAGTAAAGCAAGCAAAGATAGTTATCTCTAAGGGTTGCAAACACTTATCTTTTGAGGATGAGTTGTTGCTAGTTGTTAGAGATGAGACATTCTCTCTGAATTGATTCCTTTCAGAGTTTGAATCAGAGCTTGAAGCACGAACCATATGGTCTACAAAGAGACAAGGGAAGGAGAGATTTGAGTGCCGTCGCGGTAAGCTTGTCTTGAAGACTACGTAAAAGCTTTGTAGGATGTCCATCATGGAGGTGTGATGTGTTGCCATTATGAAGAATACCGTTCCAGCTTGAGTCTGAACTGAGTCAAAGAACTCAAGTAGCGTTTAGCTTTCAGTGGTGAGCTGATAATTGGAAACACTGAACTTGTGCTCTAGAGAGTGAGAACAACACCAATCTTCTCCTCCTTCTTCACGGCTCCTTGGTTTCCAATTGACCAGGAAGTGATGTTACTCTCCCACCTCAGCTCTAGCTTCCCTGAACCCTCCTGTGAAGGCTGTAACAACTAGACCTAGAGCTTTCACTTGCATCTTTGAGCGTCTCAAAAGCTTTCAGCTTTTGGTTCGGAAGTGAAGTTACAAAACAGAGAACCTGTTCATCTTGCTGGTCCAAACCTGTTCCAGCAACCTAGACGACTCTCCTAGAAGGTGTTCACACCAAACATGAGCCTGGAACTGAGCTGAATCTCTGAAACCATGAGCTGGGTGCAGAGAGAGAGACAATAACAGAGCTCGAAGAAGCATCTTCTTGTCTGGTTCAGAGAGTTTGTTTTCACGCATCAGCAAGAGTATGAAGTAGAGGAAAACAAACTCGTGTTCTCCTTGTCAGAAGAGTCTACGGCAAGCTCGTTCCTTTGAAGTTCTCTGGTCAGAAGCAGCTTGCATGATCACTGCCTCCTTACCACAAGCTGTCTCACATACCATCTTCATGATGTAAGTTCTCTGCATTTCATTCTCGAAACTGATTTGAGAGAAATCAAGTCTTGATCTTTGCCGCAATCTATCAAGTCTGGTAAATAACCCCTGAATGGTTGTATGAAGTTAGTCGAGTTCCAGAGATTTGCCTAGACTTATCAGATACTGCGCTTCTTTAAGCTCCATCAACGTCAAGAAGCCTGAGCTCGACTTTGCAAATGAAGCCTTGATCTTGTCTTCACTGAGGCCTTATCGGAGTGAAACAGAATCAACGAAGATACAACCAGCGTAGGTGAAGGTGCGGTGGTGACATTTGAGGAAGGAGAAGAAGCGATGCTATCAGAAGCTCTGAGTCAATTTGTCGAAAAACTGGTGTGCAGATCCGAAATCGAGAACTTTCCTGAAGCTCTCTTATGTTCTTCGATCTGGGAACAAACGAAGCCTCTCCCCATCTCCTTGCTTATAGTTTTTGAGAAAGCTCTGAACAGTACTCGGATGCGTCATGTTTTTCTTAGCCCACCAAGTGTTCGATGAAAATCCCACAAGAATTATCAAGCTTCACTCGGACTTGAGTCTTCGGTTGGCTTCATGAGAAACCTTCATCCCTTCTCTTGAAACCATCAGAGCATGTCGAGATCTCCCTTTGTCTGACTGGAAGCTCGAGAAAGCTTCTCTCTTTTTTTTTTGTCTTTAAACCACCGTGGTTTTCCGAGGAAGAAGAAAGAGTCCCTTTGTCGGATTGGAAGCATGCCGTGAAGCTTCATCTTTTTTATTTTTGATTTTTGTTTTTGTTTGGAAGCATACCTCAACTCTTCATCGGTTCCTCGGCTGCTCCTTGTCAGCAGACGAGTCTCCCTTCTCTTGCGCTTTTGGAGCGGTTTCCTCGGTAGTCATCTTCTGCTTGGCTCGTGGAGTTTTACCCTGAGACTTCTGAGCCTTCTTGTCTTTATTTGTACTCCAGTTGTTGCTCTTCGGCTTTGCTTTGGGAGGCTCAATCTCCAATTTTCCGCTGGCGAGAGACGAGAGGAATTGCTCATATAAGATTTTACACTCCTTCATGTCGTGCTTCTTGCTCTTGTGATACGAGCAGTATTTCTCTGGTTCCGCGGGATTCGACCCTGACGCTTCGGGTGTACCTGAGGTCTTTTGCTCGCTATCAGCCCTGTCCCAATGGTTCCATCCATTACCTCAGACCACGACTGTGGAACCCGGGAGGTCGTCCTCGTTGACCATGTAAACAAAACTTTTCTTTGGATTCGGTTTGTCGCTGGGGGCATGCTGTCATGGCTCCGAACGGGTATCGCTATTCTTAGTCGGCGCTTGTTTCGTCGCGTTTGACTTGCTGATGATTCCTTTGGTATCTTCTTTCGTGCGGATGAAGTTGTTGGATCGAGCAATGGCGTCGGATAAGGACTTAATCGGATGACGGTACAGGTCGTCCTAGAACTTTGTACGTACAGGGTGTTTGTAAAAGCGTCCACAACAATGCTGTCGATCTGGGGACTTTTACTTTGGATATGATGCCCTTAAACTTCTCCATAAAACTGCGAAGGCTCTGGCCGTGTGCTTTGGAAAGGTTCAATAGATCCGAAGCGGTGGCTTCCTCGCGCGTGAACATTATATAGTTCTTTAGGAACACAGACGACAAGTCGTGGAAACTGTTGACAGAATTTTCCCGCAAGCCGGTGAACAATGTGAGGGTCACGCCGATCAAACTCTCGACAAAGAGCTGACAAAAGCCAGCATCTTTTTCTTCGTCAAAGAAGTTTTGTCGCCTCATCGCGATATTGAAGGACGTGATGTGGGCAGTCGGGTCCGAGAGACCGTCGTAAGTCGTTAAGCGGATCTTGTCCGTCTTGTGGAGCCTTACGTTAGTTATCTTGCTAGCGAACGGTGTTCGAAGAGTTTCCGCGAGGATGCTCTTGATGAGCGGAGCGGAGGTCATGACCCCATGGATCTTTGAGTTTATGTCGAGGAGGGCTTGCTTGAGAGCAGCGATCTCCTTGACAGTTTGCAGATCTGGGGAACCGGAGATGTTAGTTTTTTCCTCGGTCGCGACTTGGTCATTAGGGTTTGCTGTTCGGTCAGTGTTGAATAGCTGTCGTCAAAAAGGCTGGTTAGTGGCGGCCGTCTCGGCGAACGGCGCGAGGATGGCTGCTATAGCGGTGAGTTGCTTGGTGGTCTCTCTCTGAGCTTCGTCTTAGCGCACAAAGTGTTCCATGATGGAGTCGATGAAAGTCGGAGCGAGTGGTACGGCAGTGGCCGGAGTCGGTGCTACTGCGTCCCCTTTTCGCCGGAGATTGAATCGTTACTCGGACTCATTTCTATGTCGACACTACTTTGTTATGCCCCACGGTGGGCGCCAATTGTTTGAACCGAGTTCAGTCTTGTGACAGTAAAGAGAGTGATTGGACTCGTCTGTTAGTTATTTCAAAGGCGTTTTATTATTTATGAGTGGAAGAGTAAGTTTATTGATGAGAGATTTGATGTACAAATAAGGAAACAAACGAGCTTGTCGGTGACAGAATACATATCATTAATGGAAGCAATTAAAGAAGGTATGTGGCTGAGAGGATTGACAGAAGATTTAGGGTATCAACAAGAAGAGGTTAGCGTGGAATGCGTCTCTCAAAGCGCTATATGTTTGGAAAAGAACAACATGTTTCATGACAAAACGAAGCATGTAGCAGTGTCTAAGCATGTGGCTTTGAAGATGAGTTTTGTGATGGACATGGTGGATACAAAAGAAGTGAAGACTGTGAAGGTTTACACCTCCAAGAATCCGGTGGACATGTTAACATAAGTGATTCCAATCACAAAGTTTGAAGAGGCTCTATCTGAGCTTAGTGTAGCCAGTTGCTAATAGAGAATGGCTTTTTTTTTTTTTTTTTTTTTTGAACAAACCTTACTTTTATAGAATCTTACTCTCCATGAATGGAGAAAGTGTACATAGAACATGAAAACAAAGCCATCCAGGCTAAACAACCAGCTATAACTAAGAAGCAAGTACAACATAGAAGGATATGGGTATACAAAAACACTTAAACAACTAATGAAACTGAGAAGTCCTCTAATCTCAACTACCATCGAGCTGTAAAGTGGGATGACACCTTGGAAATTAAAGACCACAATCAGTGATGTAAATTCCGAGACTGAAGCAGCAACAAGTGCACAATCAACAATCTTCAACATGGCTAAAAAGCCTTTGATTAGAACTTCAATATTAGAAGTATCTCTAATCTTCAACAATACATTCCCTGCACCAAAACCACATAAAGTAGATGATGAAATTGGGAATAGAACAAACTCCATAACGGAGTAAACCGGACAGTAAACATTCAACAAGACCCAATTCACATGATGAATGGATGTGTGACGCATCAGTCCATTAAGCTGCCATAGCTGAACATAGAAGAAATTAAGTACCACCAAGGCGAGAGACAAAGACAGACCACGAGAGTGTCTAAGATACCAAGCCAAAGATATCAACTCGTCACCCAACAATAAATTATCAAAACTCTAAGATAAAATCTGGGTTAAAGGACGAGGAAGAGAGATGAAGATAATGGTGAAGATCCAGCAACCCGTTGTTGAACCAACAAACACCACGACAAGATTAATGAGCGGGAGAGGAGGATATCTGAACTTGCTGGGAAAGAAACGGTGGGGAAACCAGTCAGCGCACCAGCAAAGAGAAACGACATCATCACTGACCACAAGCGTCAGATTCAACAAAGGAGATTTCCAGTTAAGAGTTTCTGAAAACTGTTGAGAAAAGGCTGTGTTCAAAAACAAAAGGTGCACGAGATCGAAGGGTGGGTCGGGAGGATCTGGTGGTTCTGGCGGAGAGCGAGCTTCAAGCGAAACAAGAGGAGACGAACGAGGCTGCGGACCGGGAGGAGGATGGAATTGCAATGGAGGAGACAGGGGACTGAATCGTCGCGATGGCGGAGACGGAGGTGGAGACAATGAACGGAGACGCCGCAGAGATGATGGACAGAGTCGCGGCGGAGGACGAAGTTGCGACGACAGAGACAGGGAACAGACTCGGCTTGAAGCAGACGGAGGATGGAGTCGGAGCGGAGAAGACGGAATCACCAATGGAGCCATAAGAAGGTTGAGCTGCTTCATATGGGTCTTCGGCTGCAGTAACAGGAGAAACAAAGACGGAGACAATGGCTTCAAAAGAAAAGATATTCTTCTTCTCCAACCATAGCTCAGATGGTGAAGCAAAGAGATAACAAAATTTAAATTTTGAATCTAGATCTAAGATCTGCAGAGAGAATTTTCTCTCTCTACATTTTCTCTCTCTTCCGATTTATAGAGAATGGCTATGCTTGACGTATAAGGGATGAACTCAAGGTTGTAAATGTCAAGGTGGAGTTTGTTATGAAGTGTGACATACAACAATGTTCCGGGGTTTGTTAAGAGATATATTGGTACAAGAAACAATTGGAGATAACCGGAGCGTGTTATTGATTCATATGGTTCAGCGTGTACCCATCTCGTCTACTAAAGTGCGGGAAAAGGGCCTATTCCTACCCGAACAATTTCAATCGTGCCAAATACAACTCGAACAAACATCCAGTGCCAAATACGACCTGAACTACGTTATAATGCAAAAATACTACCTGAACTTTTTAAAACGTGCCTAAACCTACATTGACCGTAACAGAAGTTAGTCAACCGTTAAAATGATAAACCGACGTCGGGAAAATGGTCTATTCCTACCCAAACAATTTCGATTGTGCCAATTACAACCCGAATAAACATTCAGTGCAAAATACGACCTGAACTACGTTAGAATGCAAAAATACTACCTGAACTTTTTAAAATGTGCCTAAACCTACATTGATCGTAATATAAGTTAGTCAACCTTTAAAATGATAAAACGACGTCGTTTTGATTCTATTATTTAAAAATGAACATTCCGGGAACCCGGGCTTTGTCACTATTTAAAACATACACATCAACCACTAGACTAAAGCAATTTTTTAAAAAAAATATTACAAATTTGCAATTATATATGCTACTATACTTTTTAATCTTCTCTAATTAAAACTTTTGTTATTATTATTTTTGATTCTTATAAATATATTAACATATTTTGTAATTATTATATCTTCAATAAACTTATATTATACTAAAATATAAATAATAAAATATTTATAATCATACAAAATTAAATATATTTCATGTTTTCAACTATTTACAAAATGTCCATATATTAATTATTTTAAAAATAAAACTTAATGGTAATTTATTTTATTTTGGTAAAGTATATTCAGCTTATACTAATTTTAAGAAACAAAAGAAATTAACTTTCAAGTTTTAAAATTTTAAAATAATTTATATATGGACATTTTGTAAATAGTTTCAAAACATGAATATATTTAATTTTGTATAATTATAAATATTTTATTATTTATATTTTAGTATTTATAAGTTTATTAAATATGTTAATATATTAATAAGAATCAAAAATAATAATAAGCAAAGTTTTAATTAGAGAAGATGAAAAAGTAAAAAAATTGCTTTAGTCTAGTGGTTGATATGTCTGTTTTAAATAGTGGTAATACCCGAGTTTGAATCCCGTAATGTTCATATTTTTAAAAAAATAATGAAATCGAAACGACATCGTTTTATCATTGTAACGGTTGACTAACTTCTGTTACGGTCAATGTAGGTTTAGGCACGTTTTAAAAAGGTCAGGTAGTATTTTTAATTATAATGTAGTTCAGGTCGTATTTGACACTAGATGTTTGTTCGGGTTGTATTTGGCACGATTGAAATTGTTTGGGTAGGAATAGGCCCTTTTCCCGACATCGTTTTATCATTTTAACGGTTGACTAACTTCTGTTACGGTCAATGTAGGTTTAGGCACGTTTTAAAAACTTCAGGTAGTATTTGTGAAAATAATATAGTTCAGATCGTATTTGGCACTGGATGTTTGTTCGGGTTGTATTTGGCACGATTGAAATTGTCTGGGTAGTAATAGGCCCTTTTCCCACTAAAGTGCAAGGAGAGTTCATCCTCAGAAACAGAAAACATTCAAAGAGAATCAGAGAGAGAAGAAGGTCATCGAGAACTTGGATGTATCTTCATAGCTTCTTGTGGTGATCTATGTACGATCTCATTTGGATTCTAGTGAGTGGTTGCTTGTACCATCAAACCCCGGACGTACGGATTCACATCGAATCCCGAACTGGATAGAAAATCTTGTGCATCATGTTTTCTTTACATTGCTCATAAACAAAAACGAGAGATCGAGTGAGGTGAGTGAACGCAAATGAGAGTAGAGAGCGAAGGCAAGTTCAAGATCAAGAAGTCGATTTGGTTAATTGTTTCAGAACACTGGCTAATCTTGTTTTATGCCGACCTAACTCTTTTCATAATTTTACTCACTCGCATTTCTTTTACCTACCAGAAGAAGGCTATTGTTGGTCATGGGTTTGCTATCTCACATAACTTGACCTCAATTAAACGGATAGTGTCATCATTTTCTGTATACATGGAGAGTTTTTCATTACGAAGATGAGATGTTTTAAAGAGAACAATAGAGAATAAGTTTAGACAGATCTCACTAAGAGATCTAGAAGGCCACACACCTAGCCAGAATGTGCCTTCGGTGTGGGACGCGGCCTCATTTCAGGATAAACTCAAATCATCTATAGAACGAACTGCAAATAGTTTGATCTTTCTCATAAGAGTGTACATAAGCAACTTTTTCACGGAATGCAACTATGATTATAGATCATCTTTAATATATGTGCCATCACTCAAGTACGAATTCATTAATAACAAGATGCTCCAAATTCCACATCTAACATTAATCATCTTAGTATTTGTTCGAAAACAAAAAATATCATATTTGTTAATTTTACCCGTTACCCCATTCTATTAAACCTTTTACAACCTATAACGAGTTTAGTTGAATGTTTTCTGGTCATAGAAGTACCTTTTTAATAGAACCGTATTAATGTATGATTCAAGTATGATGTAAATTTGGTTCAATTCTTGAAAAAAGGTGTATTATATTTCTAGAAAGTGTCTAGAGACTGTGTACCGAAACAAAAACAAGTAACTTTTTTTTGGCATAGGACTAGAGGAAAGAAAACTAGACATCATGGGTTGTGGTAGAACCAAGTAATTTGTCTTCTTCAAGTGAAATCTCAGCCAATGGATGCGATTTGGTCATCTTGTTCCACTCATTCTCTACTCTGAAAAATACCCATTGAAAGCGTCTAAACATCTCCATGGCGGTCACTGTGAACACCGTTATGTAATTGTGCCTCAAATGTGCCGATAACTTATATGTCCATGCGCACCTCAGTACCAGATTGCTCCCTATCACCCAGAAATACACCTGCAACGATATTCAACAGCTCCAATCATCATAATATGAAAAATAACACAAAGACGATTCACTGGAAAGTGGAAACTGTATCTCACCCATTGTCGGCCATATAAGAGATATGATATGTTACTTGGACGGCTAAACTTGAATATCTTAGTGAAACCGCTATAAAACAGAAACAAAGTGATGTGACTATAATGATGTGAATAAATGTTTCCAAGTACTAGTTTAGTACGCAGTTTCAACCTATTACCTCAAGTCCCAGTCTCGGGTTACATCCCAGTAGAATGAGTAGAGTGAATTGATGACACTTGAGAAAAGCCAGAGAGGTCGGTAAAATGATGTCCAGCTCTCGGGCATCACGTGGTATTTAAGCGCAGAAAGAAAGATCACAGGCACTGCTGTTGAATACTTCAGAGCTGAAGAAAAAAACACAGATTATAGATTGATGATAGAAAAAGGAACAATACTTCTTAATAATGCGGAACAATTGAACATCAATGCTCATGGGTTAGGCTTTTACCATTTAAAAGAGATGACTTTTCCTTTGTATCCTTGTATTGTCGAAGACACTGCAAAAGACGACAAATGTAGGGGAAAACAAGAACCAAAGGGATTGCAATTTGATGACTGCCACAGACAGCGTCAGCTTCAAACCACGCAATTGTTGCGACCTGAAAGTACAGGAAACCTCTTTAGCTTGATATATCCCACCATTTCATATGGATAACACGTTATGAAACCCGTGCAGGGTTGACAAACAGCCAGGATTTCAATTGGTTCATAAGCAAAACTAGATACCGAACAATTAGCTGATACATCATATCTTAGGGTTTGTTAAGTCTTGGAGGGTAATTTGTTCGTAATACAGAGCAATCTTATTCGTTTCAGGTCATAGGAAAAATCGAACTAGTTAATCCAGCTCAACAGATACTGGCATTTGTCAGTCTTGTAGGATAATTTTTTGGTATTGCAGATGGATCTACACTTCTTCCAGATCATACGAAAGAATGGAACTAGTTTCTCCAACATAAGATATTTCAAATCTATATTAGATGTCACAAATAATCAATTGATCAAGTAAAGTAGTTACCTGTCTATGCACCATCCGGCAGACGGAGCGCTCTAAGTCCGAAAACACCTGCATGCAAAATACACATGTCAATCATAAATGAAATCAGTAGAACATTATTTATCCGCACAAGAGAAATAAGGACTCAATTCCATTCCTTGACATATCAGATTTATAATGCGAGCAACAACAGCGACATTTACACCTATATTAAAAAACAAATCAAGCGAGCAAAACATTTAAACTTTTAGCACAAGAATCCATATTAACTCCAATAATCCAGTTACATGAACAACATTTGACACACCAACAATCTCTTCTCCTTGAAAACCAGTTCAGCATGGAGACAATGTGCTTAAATTAAGCCTATCGTGCATCTCCTAAATCAGGACGAATTCAACACTAGCAATTCTACTCGACCTCAGGTCAAACAGAAACACTAACACACATAAAAGAAACACAGACTTCATTGTGAGGTAGCTACGACCTTTACAATCCCGGAGCTCCGTAAAACCCTAAACCGCAACCTTAACAAAATCATCAATCCACATTTTTATAAATCTGATATGATACATAAAGAGAAGGCCCTAGTTTAGTTACACTAAGCCTCCTACTACCAATGCCCTAATTTCTAACAACATATTTCTAGAAGGAAGCTTTCTCTCAACACTCTTTGAAATTTCATACCTTTACCATGGAGGT